CTCTGCTAATTCCCCCTGGACAATTATCTTCTGTCAATTCTCCTCTGTCAATTCCTCTGATCAATTCTCTTCTGTCAATTCCCTTCTGCCAATTCTCCCCAGTCAGTTTTCTTGGTTATCTCTAGAGGTTAATTAGTTACCTCTGTAGATTAACAACTAACTTGGCAGCTTAGTTGGTTAATTACCTTGCATGTTGCCTCTCTAGGTTAATTGTGCACTGTCTGTTATAGCAATCAGTTAAGCCTACACTGTGGGTTATCTCTATGGCTTATCTATATTATACTGGGTATCTTTACTTTGTGAGGTGTCTCTGTAGGTTAATTGCACTAGACAGGCCAAATGCCCCCTCTCTCTAGGACTCTTTCTCTCGCCTTCTGAAGGTCTTATCCACCAGACCTTGATTTTTCAGGCTTCATTCCACTTAAATGGCTTCCCCTATCCTTAGTATAAGGTCTCTTTCTCTTCACTGAATCCCTCCCTGAGTGGGTGGAGGACACTCTGTATAGGAAAAGGGGGTGGAGGGCAAGGTGATCTTGTGATGAAAGTGAATGCTTATGACAATTCCATGGAAAACCATCCTGGAAGGGCCTAGGATGAGACCTTCCCCAAGGTGCCCGAGCCACCCCCCCCAAAGCTTAGCACCCTAGCCCAGCATAGATTAAACTGATGAAATAATATTGTGAATTGGTTACACAGTGGTGGGAAAAGAGATTCCTGGGCAGCCCAGCTTTAATTATCCCACTTCCCCCCACCCTCTGCCTGCCAGTCTTCACCTCCACCTCTAGTGACTTAGCAACACTAAGGGAGGTCAAAGGCATGGAGCTCTGTAGAAACATTGGGGTGATAGATCATTAGAGCTGGGAGGAACTTTAGACAGATCTCATCAGAGCTTAGGGGCAGGAGTAGTACATGGAATGTCAGAGGTGAGATGAGTCTTCAGCAAATAGATTTGGAGCTGGGAGGGACCTTAAAGAACTCTGGCCAACTCGCTTTTTTATGGAGGAGGAAACTGAGGCAAGGAGAAGGGGAAGAGACTTGTTCAAGGTCCCCCAGCCCCTTTCTCTATATACAAACAGTAAGGGTTAACTGCACAGGCAAAGCAGTAGAGAGATGATTGATTGATGTGTTCAAGGATTATGAAGCAAGTAGAGAAGGAAAGGGGTGGGAGGAGAGGGGAGGAGGGAGGGGAGATGAGGGAAACCCCGAGCCCAGGGGCTGGGGCTGAGGAGCCTTTCCAGCAGGGCTGTGAACCAATAAAGAACCCTGTGTGTGAAGATGCTGCCTGTTTCCTTTCTGGGCCCCTCCCTGATTTCACACTTTCCTGCAGGCTCTGATCCCAGCTCTGACAAGCAGAACCATTTGGGAAATGTTGCTTTCTACACGTTCTTCAGGGAAGAAAGGCTCAGAGAGCTCAAGTGATTTACCCAGAGTCTCCCAGCTAGTGGGTATCAGAGGTGGGACACTGTCAATTGATTCAGGGACATAGTGTCCTGTAGAGGGAGGAGAGAGGGAGCAGAACCGGCGACTCGGGCCCCAGAAGACGAAGGCCTGAAGAGAGAGCCAGCCACCTGGGCTGTTTGCTCCCGCTGTGCTGTCCCCCACCACCAGAAAGCTCGAACCTTCTGCACCACCAAGGGTCCAGCTATGAGCACCTGGGCTCTCCCTTCACCTAGGAACTCTAGTGGAGAATGAAGGGATAGTCACATTGACAACTCACGTTCTTAGGCCATGCCCATTTAACAGATGAGAAAGCTGAGGTTCAGAGAGGAAATCCAGAGGACTTACAGCTAGTGAGCCACCAAATAGAGATTGGCCTCACACGAGGGTCGACTAGAGCCGGGTGTACAGGCGTGGCTGAGCCAATTGTTAAATATTCAGGGTGAGCATATACCTTGGAAATTGGGACACACTGAGAATCAGGGCTTCATTTGTTGATTTAAGGGAGTGGTGGAGAAAATTTTAACCATTTTTTTTTTCAGAGAACTAGCGATTAAACATGGCATGTCTGGCCCAGATGCCTCCAACCCCTACCGAGTCATCTCCAGGTCCCAGGTGCCTATGTGCCTACCAAAAATGTGAATCAGGTTCTAAAAGGACTCTTCCCTCTCCCCACCTCAGTATCTAAACACCTTGTTTTGCACTGAATCACACAGGAGAAATGATAAGGGTCTGAGGAGGGATGGAGTCAACTTCACAAGAGGAAGGCTGTGGAGGCATGCTTAAGCATTAGTTCATATGAAGAAGATCTGGAGGTGTTAGTGGACTGCAAGCTCAATATGAGTCAACAGCACTATGGGACAGCCAAAAAAGCTGATTAGATCTTCAGCTGCATAGAGAGGAAGAACCTCCAAGAATAAGAATAAGGCCCTCCAGCCTGGTCAGCCCAATCTGGAATTCTATGGTCAGTTCCGGGCAGGTAGAGACTGTCCCTAGGAGCACCACCAGCAAGTCAAAGAGCCTTGAACCTATGGCATGGGAAGATAAATCGGAAGAAATCGAGGTGTTTAGCCTTGAGAAGAAAAAACTCCAGGAGGATGCAAGAACTATTAGGAGCAGGAGTGAAGGAGGAAGACAGAGGCTTGGTGGAAGGAGAAATTTGCTCGTGAGAACTGTCCCCAGAGGATAAGGGCCGTTTGGGGAGGTTTGTCACCACTGGAGGGCTTCAGGAAGAAGGCGGGTGCCCATCTGCAGGGGAGGCCACGAATGGGATGCGTGCTCATGGAGGGTTTGGACACGACGGCCGGCCACGTTGGCCCTCTGCCCGGCGTCCTCCTGGAGCTCCCAGCATAGACTCTCTGAGCCGTAGCATCCCCTCACGCAGCTGGTGCCTCCACTAGAATCCCCTCTGAGGTTACCCAGTCCCCTCGAGGCGGCCCATTCCATCGTGACAAGACAAGCGTGCTCCTCCTAAGGAAGCTTGCCTCTGGCATGGCGCCTGAAGCCTCCTTGCACTAGCCTCCATCATTCCTGGTTCTGCTTGGCCTCAGGGCCACCCCTGGAGTCTTGCCTTCTTCAGCCTCAACGTCCCGGATTTGTTCAAGGCTCTTTGCCACCATCGATGCCCTCAAACCTCTCAATGTCCTCCACCCCCAGCTTCAAGTCTCAGCTAAAATTCCACCTCCCGCAAGAAGCCTTCCCAGCCTTTCCCCCAACAGGCCCTCCCTCCAAGCCGCCCCAGCCTTTGCCCCAACAGGCCCTCCCTCCAAGCTTCCTCACCCTTCACACATTATGTATCTCACATTGTTCTTATCTGAACATTGTCTCCACCGTTGGAATGTGAGCTCTTTGAAGGCAGGGGCTGGGTTTCTGCCTTTCTTCAGACCCCCAATCCTTAGTGACCGACTGATCACAGGCACCCCACACACATACTGGTAGCACCCCAGAGTCAGTGCCCCCTATCCACTGCACCATCCAGCCCCCTCAGGGAGAAGGTTAGAGGACACCCTTTCCCTCGAGTCACACCCACTGTGAAGAGTAAGGCCAGTGGGCAGCAGGGACACGGCCCTCGACCTATTACCAAGGGAAGCCCCCCATGCCAAGAGGCTGAGAAGACAGATAGGTCAAAGGCCATGCTTTGGGCAGAGCAGCATGCTTTAAGAAGAGTTAGACATCCAATAGCCTCTGAAAGGCCTTCTGGAGCTCTGGGCCGGCGCCTGGGTCAAGGCCCCAGGTCCCTGGGTAACACATTCTAGGGTGGAATGGCCGAGCTGGGAGGAGCCTTCAAAGGCCATCTGGCCCACCCCCTCCTCCCATGGGACTCCAGACTTAGAGCTGGAAAGGGCCTGAGGCCCTCGAGTTATGGATGAGGAAAACCGAGGCTCGGTGACGAGCACACGAACCCTTCCCTAGACTAGGGAAGCAAAGCCCCAGGTTACTGGACAAAGACCTGAGAGATTGTGAGAGGAGCAGAGGGAGGGAGGGAGGAAGGAAGGGTGCCCCAAAAATCTCAGCGTTAGAACCAGAGACCGTCAAATTGGATTCAACAAACATTTGTTAAACACCTACTATGTGTCAGGCACTGAGGACACAAAGAAATACACACATGTGTGTGTGTCTATGCACATATCTAGGACATCTAGGGGGTGCAACGGTGCACAGAGTGCCAGGCCTGGAGTTCTGAGTTCAAATTCGGCCTCAGACACTTACTAGCATAAACCTGTTTGCCTCAGTTTCCTCATCTGTAAAATGAACTGGAGAAGGAAATGGCAAACGACACCAGTATCTTTGCCAAGAAAACCTCAAGTGGATTCACAGAGTCAAACGTGACTGAAACAACTCAACAACATGCATGTGTATATATACATATATACATACACATACACATATATATTATACATACTCACATATACTATATAACATATTATACATACACATTTTGGGGCAATTTTTAAAAATGTATGTGTGTATACATAAATATATATGTATACACACATATGTATGAAATTATGTATATAATACATATACATACATATGCATACATATAAAATATGAAAGAAATGTAAATTGTGTTATATACCATATCTTTAGCTGAAAAGGTATAGACACAAAGAATATATATGAACATACAAGTGTATTTACACACACACACACACACATATGTAAATAGATCTGTATCTCTCGCTCCCCTTGGAGGACTCCACAGTCCGGCCCAATAAACCTTTTTTCCTTCCTTCCTTCCTTTCTTTTCTTCTTTCTTTTCCTTCCTTTCTTTCCTTCCATGACCCTCCATCTCCGGCCTCTCTCACTTCCCCATGCCCAGAATACCTTCCCTCCTCACCATCACACCATAACATCGCTAGGTTCCTTCCAAGCTCAGCCCAGATATCCCTTCCCCCGCGCTGTTACCTTCTATGTGCCCAGGACAGAGGCAGCCTCGCTTGGAAGACCCGGGTTCCAGCCCCACCTCTGACGTATGCTGGCTGTGTCACCTTGGCCAAGTGACTCCACCTCCCAAGGCCCCAGACAATGCTTTAGGAACCCAAAT